TTGGATCTGGTACATTTGGGACTGTTTACTACGGAAAGTGGAGAGGAACTGATGTTGCTATTAAAAGAATTAAAAAAAGTTGTTTTTCAGGCAGATCATCTGAGCAAGAACGCCTTGTAGGTCCATACAATCACCAGCTTTTTGAGATAATTATTCTTTTTTTTTTTTTTCCGAGTCTTCTGATTACAGTTTGCATCTTTATTCAATTTCTTATAATATCATAAGTTTAAAATTTTGTGAAAGCTCAAACAAAGGATTCAAATGTTTAGTCATGAAACGATAACTTTTGTTGCTTGAGTGGAACCTTTCCTGACCATGCAGACAAAAGATTTCTGGAGAGAGGCACAGATCCTTTCAACCCTTCACCACCCAAATGTGGTAGCATTTTATGGTGTGGTCCCTGATGGACCAGGAGGGACTATGGCAACAGTAGCTGAATATATGGTAAATGGTTCATTGAGGCATGTCCTGCAGAGGAAAGACAGGTAACTTTGCTCCCAACTCTCCTTCTTGTGTCTGTAACATGGTACGTAAATTACTAAATGCCTAAAACTCCAGCAGATCAGTTGATCGTCGTAAAAAGCTTATGATCACTCTGGATGCAGCTTTTGGAATGGAATATCTACATCTGAAAAATATTGTCCACTTTGATTTGAAGTGTGATAACTTGCTTGTCAATTTGAGGGATCCCCAACGACCCATATGCAAGGTAATTAGTTCCAAAAATTGAAATCTCTTCGACCATAGCCCAATATTTATAATGATGGCGTAACAAACAGGCTGGCTTTCATAAATATGTAGAAATGCTTTCCAACAGAATAATGAAGATATGTCAAAAATTTTCTACATATGTGTAAATTATATATTTTTCATCAAATGGCTCTATAGACTATTTGCAAGTCTGGTTACATTTATCTGTGTTTGGTTAACTTCTTTGCAGGTTGGAGATTTTGGGTTGTCAAGAATTAAAAGGAACACACTTGTGTCTGGTGGTGTACGAGGAACCCTTCCATGGATGGCACCAGAATTATTGAATGGCAGCAGTAACAGGGTCTCTGAGAAGGTAAAGAATTAGGGATAGAGACCATTTTCTATCTCATAGAATTAGAGAATAATGAAAGAGAAATATAAAGAGTATAACAACATCATCATTTGACAATCTTCTTTATAGGTGGATGTCTTTTCATTTGGTGTAGCAATGTGGGAGATCCTGACTGGGGAAGAGCCATATGCTAACATGCACTGTGGTGCCATCATTGGTAAGCTTTTCAGAATTGTTGCTGAAATCACCCATATTTTTCTTTTCAATTTCATTTAAGAAATGCTGAACCAATCTTCATTCTGTTGCATATCAGAATGTAACTTCAGGCTACTTCAATAGATAATTTTTGCTTTATTGCAAAAGAAGAAATTTTCATGCTAGTTAAAGATTTTATGCAAGTGCGTCTTTCACTTTTGCAAACAGGAACTTCAATAATAGTACACAGAATATATTCCTTTTACTTCTTGTTTTCTCAACAGAATTGAGTCTACTATATCTCTCTCTTGTGAATGTGCTGCTCATACTTTGTTAATGCGTCTGATAAATTTGACCGGGAATCATGCTTTCTTGAATTTGGAATGAAGGGGGGATTGTAAATAACACACTCAGGCCTCCTGTACCTGAACGTTGTGATAGTGAGTGGAGAAAGTTGATGGAAGAGTGCTGGTCTTTTGAACCTACTGCAAGGCCATCATTCACAGAGATAGTTAACAGACTGCGGTCTATGTCGGCAGCACTACAACCAAAGCGACGCAATTATGCTATAAGATGAAATCAAGGTTCCATGTAAGTCTTACAAATACATGTAAATTTATTAGCTGAGCCTTTTAAATAGAAAATAACTTATTGCATTCTTGCTTAAAATAAACTTCTTTTCCTTCCTGTCTTGAGAATCCTGAATTCGTTTTCAAAAACTTACCCTGGGTAATCAAATCACTCAAGTTTTTTGTTGCTGAGATATTTACCTTCTCAAACAAGGATTGGTCCCTCTTATGTGGGAGTCCATTTAGGATTCTCCTAAATCTCGGAAAGTAGTAGAGATACAGGAGTCCTGTGAAATGTATCTTCTGTTCCCTAGTGTCATTTGTTATGGTTCAGCAGCAAGAAGACCGAACACTTCTCTAAATCTTTGTCATGCTTCACTTATGCATGGAGTTTTATTACTAGCAATTATTTCTGCAAGTATGGATACTAACTGCATGAAAAGAAGAACCATCATAGATGGTTAAACACTGAACATCTATGGACTGTAGGTGTAGAAGGCTAAATAGGTAGAACAAAGTACCAGGTGAATGTAAAACAAGAAATGCCTCAAGATGTCATCTTAAGGAAATTAAAGCACAAAAGCAGTGTCCATAATGAAGTTACATATGTTCTAGCACACTTCTTTTCTTTGTTCATATTTTGCTTTTTGAGGTGATCGTTTCTTGTTGGACATTCATGAATCTGTAGAACTACCTTCTTGACTCTGTCGATGATCATCTTCATCATCAAGAAGAAGAGAGGAAATGAACAAGAAGATTATTATTCCAGGTCCTTCACCTGTTTATTGGAGATACTGAAGCAAAGAGCAAAAACTGCTGCCGGGTATACTGTATTGACTGCATGAATTTCATATTCTGGGATCTGAACCTCCTTATTAGAGAAATTTTTCGTGTACTGTATATTGATTGTATATATTGTGCATATAGCCAAAAAGTTCAGTTGGGATTGCATTTTGCATCTCCGTTCTTGTGTAAATTGAGTGTCTCATTCATTCTCAAATTTGCATGACATCAATAGCCGAGTAAACAAAAGGAAGATCAAGTGATTCCTAAAATTCTTCACCAAAACAAAGTGATCCCTAAAAGTTGAAGCCAAAGAGAGTTATTTGATCAATGTTTGCTTCAGTGGTTTTCATGGGAAAGTTAATAAGAACTGATATATAACAAATAAACATACACATCATATTATGAAACAGAATTCAGTTGCTATAGTAGAAAGTAGATAATCATATTGATCTTTTGTTCCAAAACCCATGGCCAAATTTTAAGGGTAATTTATTTGCTACTTCAAAGAAAATAAAAAGAAAAACAAGGAGAAGAGTAAATAATTAATATGACATTGTTAAAATGATTAACGAGTGGGAAACTAAGTGGATATAATTGTAATCATCAATAATAGGATATTCCTAGTTGAAAGTTGAAACTCTCAGCAAGACAAGCATGGGTCGGCAAAACGACAGTTAGCCAAGCAGGAAACGGCATTTGATCGAGTAGCCGAACAAAAAAGGACAAAAAAAGACATTATTTTTATTATTATCACAAAGAAGCGAAAAACAGAGGCAAATCTTGGTGTTTACAGATGAGAAAAAATTTGGATGTTTGTGTTTGTCAGAATCTGGTTCACAGATCATCAGTATTGCAATGTCCGCTGTTCAATTTTGTTTGATCATTTCTATGTTCTCTTCTGTAAGCTCACTAACAGCAAACAGGGAAATAAACTAAAGAAAAAGGTTAAGGTTTGCTGGTCAACAAGGAAGATTGTATCAGAACCCTAATGAGCAATGACTGGCCGGGCACTACAAGGTCTCTTAACTTCCACATATCTTTATTATCATTATCAATGAATCGTTTCTTCTCTGGTAGAATGATTCAAGAACTCTGTCTCCACTTTTTTATGCACCTAATTAGCTAAATATATTGGTTTGACGACTACTTTTTTCTGTTGGGGGGTGTTTCAAAAATGGCTTTTAAGGGAAATGAAATCAACTCTATGAGCTAGAATGAAGATTAAGATTTCCGTAGCTGTCAGAAGTATATATATATAGTATATATGTCATCTGTGATTGAAGCTTATGTGCATGGATTCCATGAATGCAGTGCTCTCTCCACCACCTTCTACTGCACTTGGGCTAAAAAGTCCATCTCAGGCGCATACTCCCTTTTTATATTTTTTCCTAGGGGCTGCAGTCATGCTTGCAATCCTGGTGATTCTAATTGTAGTCTTTTGGAAAATTATCAAGCCGACCCAAATGATGAAGATGCTAGAATTACCTAGAAAAGGGGCAGGTAACAGAGCTCATATGTCATAAACAATATTGAAGATACAATCATCAATGCCTAACTTCTTTCCTTTCTTTTCATCTTCTTGCAGCATCCAAAGACTTCTTTAGTGGCAACCTTCGAACAATTAGCTCTTTTGACTTTCAGACATTGAAGAAAGCTACCAAGAATTTTCATCCCAATAATCTCCTTGGAAGAGGTGGATTTGGGTCTGTATATCGGGTATAATTTCACAATTACCTGTCTTAATGAAGCTAATTTATTTTCTTGGGTGTTATGCCTTGTTTGAGTCTGAAATTTATGTGTACTTGACAGGGCAAGCTGAAAGATGGGAGGTTGGTTGCTATAAAAAGATTATCTCTTGACAAATCTCAACAAGGGGAATCAGAGTTTCTTGCAGAGGTTAGGATGATCACTAGCATACAGCACAAGAACCTTGTTCGCCTTCTTGGGTGTTGTTCGGATGGGCCTCAACGACTACTCGTGTATGAATACATGAAGAACAGGAGCTTGGACCTCATAATTTATGGTAAATATAATTTTTTGTTCTGGAACTTTCACATAGACAACATGCATCAGTAGGGCAGTATGTTCTTCTGCTTGGAACATCGGAGAGATTATTGTATAAAGTGGTTCATGTTTAATTGGTATAAAGATGCAGCTAAATGAATTCAATGAATCCATGACCTACTAAAAAGTTTAAATATTAGCTTCTTTAAAGTTTTGGCTTGATCTTAATACCAATTGTCTTGCTCTAATGTCCATTGGTTTAGGCAAAAGTGACCAGTTTCTGAATTGGAGTACAAGATTTCAGATCATCGTAGGCATAGCTCGGGGCTTACAATATCTACATGAAGATTCGCATCAAAGGATTGTTCATAGAGATATCAAAGCCAGCAACATTCTTCTTGATGAGAAGTTCAACCCAAGAATTGGAGATTTCGGACTGGCCAGGTTCTTCCCGGAAGACCAGGCTTACCTCAGCACAACATTTGCTGGAACTCTGTAAGTCCTACACCTCTCCAGAACATCAAAGAATTAGATCATTCTTGAAATAGACCTTGAAGCTCATCGTTTTTATTCTCTGTTAATTTTCTCTGCAGTGGTTATACAGCACCAGAATACGCTATCAGGGGAGAGCTATCGGAAAAGGCAGACATCTATAGTTTTGGTGTTCTAGTGCTTGAAATTATTAGCTGCAGGAAGAACACAGACCTCACTTTGCCATCAGAAATGCAATATCTTCCTGAATACGTAAGCATTTACCTACACTTCCGGAATCTATTATCAAACGAGTGTATCTAGTAGTAGGTATAAACAAGAACAGGATCCCAACATTAATAATCAAATTTTGGTCTTTCTTTCAGGCATGGAAGCTATATGAGCGATCACAAGTAATCGATCTAATTGATCCAAGAATTCGGCAAGATAGGTTTGTAGAGAAAGACGTGTTGAAAATAATCGATGTGGCATTTGTATGCCTTCAGCCTTACGGAGAATTAAGACCTCCAATGTCAGAAGTTGTTGCCATGTTGACATGCAAGGCTGAAGTGGCTACGAAACCTATGAAACCGGCCTTCATTGAACGACGTTACAGGAAGGAAGCAGAGAATCCATCTTCTTGGGATTCCATATCTGCCGCTTTACCTTCTCCTCTGCAAAGTGATTCACCTGGTATGCCTCCACAACCAAATTGAAGCCATTTGGTATCTTTTAAATGACACATACACTCACATATGTGCGTTATTCAAACAGTGAGATAATTCAGGTCTCTACTGTTCTGTTTGTTTACTTGGTGATACAAATCTGGGGTAGAAAAGTTGTAGGGATTCATAAATAGAGGCTTACTTACCAGTTGCACTTGGGAATCTTTATGGTGATTTTATAGGCTTATCTCAATTTTCATGATTCTTGTTCGATTTTTTATATCTTGATTATTTGATATATAAAAGTTAATTGTAATTCACATCTTTCATGTATAATTAAATAAACTCTATTAATATATTCAATTTTAGAACGATAAAATTTGTATCTTATATTTATCAATAAAAGAGTCGCAGAAACACTTATTTCAGTTGGATATAAAACGTACTTAGAGTATTATTTTTGTCGTAATTTACTTTCTTGTGCTTGATTTCTACTCAAATTCTCTTTATCCAAATTCTTGCACTTCACTTTTTGCTCTTAAATTGATCAATGATAGAAATAACTTTATAATTAAATGTTGAAATGCATTGACCAAGAAACTTAAGACATTTACAATATTAAAAAGACTTAGTAAATTGAAAACAGTCTGAAGTATGAGATTAACTTCTTACTAAGACAATGGTGGGTTGCTTATACTGTATATACTTTAAATAAATGTATATCTCCCCTCCATTTATGAAGATGGCTGGCTGAGAAGGTTGCCAATAAATTAAGTAGAAAATTCCAAATTAATAGTTGTAATTTTATTTTTTCAAAAAAAAAAAAAAGCATTTAAGTCTGATCTGACAGTGAATTCGATTCAATTTTCCATATCAGGAAATATATCCAATGGACACAGACGTAGAGTTTAACATATCAGAATTCTTACTTCTTTTCTTAATGTCTTTCTCAGCTCTGCTTAGTTTCAGACTTCTTGGACTACGTACTTTCTACCCACATAAAATAAAATATGAAATGAAGAAAAAAGAAAAAGGAAAGTAAAGAAAAGAAAAGAAAAGAGTGCATTAATTGATTCAGAAACTGTTTAGTTGCTTTCAGTGATGGAATTTAATTTTCAAACCCAACTGTCCAAATCTATTCAAACACTTAAGAGGCTGCATATATTCTTACATATACGTACGTAAATATGTTTATCAATGCATATATGTGTAATACTCTGACATCCAAAGATCTTTTCTCTTACCAGCAAGCTGATGCCGCTTTCAATCTCTTAAGTTCTGTATTGAATCAATTTTATTATATATAATAATGTGCTGATGCAAGTATATATAGGTCGACAATCAAAAATCAGAATAACACACAAAAATCAAGGTGGGTTTAAAATGATCATAAACCTAGTAATAAATACGATGATGATTAAGAAAAGATTAACGTTAGAGATTTGATTTGGGTGCAGGAATTAAGGAAATCAAGAAAAATAGGAGAATATGTATCATACCAAACGAGGGATTGAAAATTAGAGGAAGAACATATATATATATATATATATAGATACATATAGATATATATATATATATTCTCCAGTAGTACAGTGTAGATTACATGATGTAGTTGCTGAAATCCTACCTACTTGTTGTGTAAGGGATTAGAACCAGTGGGAACCAGTCGTTTGTCATCCAACGCCTGGTTCATCTTCTTCTTTAAGTAGTTATACATGAGATCTGATGATCCTCTGAAGCTCTTCTTCTTGAACCCACCATGAACGTCCTTGTTATCAACTCTTATTGCAACACAAGCAAAACCCAAAACCCAGACCATGAAGATCACTAAACAGATTCTCATTTTCCCACCCAAGATTCTTATAAATGATTTTTTTCAAACCCTTCAGACCTTATCATACATATACACACACACACACACACACACACATATATATAGACACACACACACACACACACCTTCAAAAGCGACCTCAGAGAAAGAGAAAATAGTGGCAAAAGGAATTATGAAGAAGAAGAAGAAAAAGAAGAAGAAGAAAGTGCAGGTTAAATATACATGCAACACTAATACCTAAGCTCTACCTCGGGCTTGCCGTGCAAATCAACTTATTTTGATTTGAAACTTCATAGAACCTTATTAATTGCACATTTTCTAATTACAGTGCGCTAAATTCGAAGACTGTTAGTATTTTAAATTAATTAATATATGATTCTTACGTGCAACATTCTGTTCAATATTAATTATGTAGCTATACATATAAATGCCCACTTAAACTGCAGAGGATTGTACGTAGCTCCCCAGGATCCAGTGAGTTTTGAAAGGCCTTCTTCAATGGAAGCTTTGTGGAGTGAAAGATTAATGGTGCCAAATTAAAGCTGATACAGAGGCTGGTAGAATATTTAATTTATCCATATAGGTATGCTGTCGTGCCTCGAGGTAAAATATACTTCTATAATTCGACTCATTGAGAAAAAAAAAAAAAAGAAATTACAGGTTTGTTAAAATAAAATAATATGTATATATTTTTATAATTTTACTCCCCTTACAGCCTTGAAGACAGAAAGGTCATAGATTTTCCCCTCTCTCTCTCTCTCTCTCTCTCTCTCTCTATATATATATATATCCACGTATCTGTAACTAATATAAAGTGAGGGTTCTGACTTTTGACCCGCAGTTAGCATTTTGCTTGTAAACCACGATGATATGGTACATTTTTCGGCCTGTTATATCAGTATTTATAACTCGTCGTAGTATGTTTTCATCGCCCAAGTGCACACATGTATATATATATATATATATACATATATATTGTATATATCTGTACGTTACAACTCATCTTGGGGAAGATAATATGATAGATGAAACCCTCGTATGATAATATAATATATTATTATAATTGATGTTTGTGTGTCATTTAATTATTAAATATATTAATTTTTATTAAAAAAATTATACAAAATGATCTTACATCTTAAATTAGAATTAAAATAATTTTATCACATCCTGTCTTAGATAATTAAAATCAAACCGAATTATTTAACAGTAATTTGAGTGTAAGTGCTCGCTAGCCTGATTATTTAAATCTGTGCCAAGCAGCTCAGAGCTCTGCTCTTACCTGTTTATAAAATGGGCCCAGCCCAGCCCAGCCCAGCCCATTTGACAACCACCAACCAAAATTCCACTAGTTCAACACCTTACGTATACGTATCCTTCTGAAATGTAATTTTCTCAGGAAAACAAAAAATGTAATGTAATGTAATAATTAATAAATCGCAATGGAAGACGTCATCTAAGTGATTGACATCTTATCTCGAGATTTTCAACGTCTAAGCCCCTTTTTGTTGACTGTCGACTATAGATCGGTTGACCACCTCATCGGACGGAAACACTTGAAATTAATCCCTGGGGACGAGTGTAGCATATAACATCTCTTAGTTGTCCACTTCTAAACCGCATAAGATTGAGTCGCTAAACTTTTTCCACTTCCCCATGTGAGCACGCATCCCTATAATAGCAGCCTTCTGTCGTTAACTCTCCCGTTTCATGCGTTAGGGGGCGCCCGTCAACATAATTTAATATTTATGGTAAAGACCGTTTGAAAATTTTAGATAAAAATGTTTATGTATAATTAGAAAGCTAATATTCATTTTAAACAAGATGCTATGAAGTTTGGATAAAATTACATGATAATTAAATTAATTAAATATAACATTATATTAATACTAAAACTATTAGTTTTATTATAATATTTATTGGATGTCACGTTTTTATTTTAAAAAATATTAAATTTATTTATAGAATATTTTTTAACTGAGATATTATCATAAAACTCCTTAATATTTTTTATTAATATCAAATTAGTTTTTAAAGTAGCTAATTCCCCATTAATATCAATTTCATACTAAAAATATTTTTCTAAATTAGGAATAATTAGACAAAATTTCTTTTATCAAATTTTCTAATGCACACATGCCATATTATTTAATCCGAATTATTCAAACTTTTATTTAATAAGAGACAATAAATATTACTTTAAATAACTAATAGCATTAAAATTATTATTAAAAAATAATAATATTACAAAAATAATCGATAAATCAATCATACATCGCTCAACGGGGAGCAAAAACAAACGCGCCAGACTGAGCGTGAAAAAGCGCTCCAATGAATCACGATAACGGCCATTGCCTCTCATTTCCTCCGTTTCACACGATATTTTTTTGGTTTTTACAGAAAATGAGACAATCTATAATATGACTGTCCAATCCCAAAGCATATTATAATATTTGAATTATTATTTATTCCGGGCGTTATAAAGAGGGAGTCTCGGCTATTTTCTTCATTTCTTTCAGTTTACCATCTCATTATCTAACCTCTCTGGTATAGAACAAGGGAGCAACAGAAAGCGTTTAGCTTGCCGAGACAATAAGCTATGGAGAAAGCGATCGAGAGGCAGCGAGTTTTGCTTGAGCATCTTCGTCCTCCTCCTTCCTCTTCCCACAGTTTCGAGTCATCAATTTCTGTACGTGTGCGCTTGCTTTCATCTTCTGATATTTACGGTTTCCTTTTTACTTTAGTTTTCAGTCTGCCGATTCGGTTACCATAGCTTGAGTAGTGTTTTAGAATTCTCTCTCTCTCTCTCTCTCTCTCTCTCTCTCTCTTTTCTCGTTTAACGTGTTTGATGATCTGTACATGCTTTTTATCTCTTGTGCGGTAGAAATTTTGATTCATTTTGATTTGATTAGATATAGTATCAGGTATTGCTGATTTACGTAGCTTAACATAATTTATCTGTTTGGTTTGCTGATCTTACGGGATGATCTTAATCATTGAATTGGTTTTCTTACATGTGATCTGAAATTCGGGTCTATACTTGCTCCTTGGAGATTGGGAACTTCTGGAATGAGTTAACGTTCGGATTGAATTGTGACGTGTTCTGTTTTCTAGCCTTTATTTCCTGCATCTGACTTCCAGAACATGATATTTTACCATGAAAATATGTAGCCACTAATATCCTTTTTGCTATTGCTCTTCCTTTTTGTTTTCTTTGAGAAATTGTTGTTTAAGTTCTTTTGAGGAATTGTTGTTTAAGTTCTTAGTGGTTGTGTACCTCAAAATAGTTTCCTTTTCTTTCATATACTCTTTTTGAATTGATTTATGTTTTATAATCCCAATCAGGCATCAGTCTGTTTAGCCGGAGACAGTGCCGCATATCAAAGGACTTCTTTGTATGGGGATGATGTGGTGATCGTGGCGTAAGTTGCTCCTTTAAGCTATTGATATTTTAATGCGTTGGCTTATAAACTGTTGAATTTTGTTTAGCACCTATTAATTTAAGTTTTGAGCAAGTCTCATTTGCTATTTATGACAAAAAATTTCCTGTTTTCGTGTTCCGCAGAGCATATAGGACAGCCCTTTGCAAATCTAAAAGAGGTGGTTTCAAGGATACTCATGCTGATGATTTACTTGCACCTGTTTTGAGGGTCTGTTAGTTGATGCTTTTACTTTGCGGTTTTCATTTTCTTTTCTGTATTATCTGATTTCTTTTCCCCTGCATTCTTCTCTCAAAACAAAAATGGTACTTCGTGCAGGCAGTGGTAGAGAAAACAAATCTGAATCCAAGTGAAGTTGGTGACATTGTTGTTGGCACGGTTTTGGCTCCAGGATCTCAAAGAGCAAGTGAATGCAGAATGGCCGCATTTTATGCTGGTTTCCCTGGTATTGTTTTTTTAACTGAATGCATCATTCAGCAACTATTTGTCTTTGTCATTTTTTTTGTTGCCCACTTATGCGCTATTATGTGTTATAGAGACTGTTCCCGTAAGAACTGTGAACAGGCAGTGCTCGTCTGGGCTTCAGGCAGTTGCAGATGTAGCTGCTGCTATCAAAGCAGGATTTTATGACATTGGTAAATATTCTTAAGAACATGTTTTTGCACTGTCTAAGTGAATTTGTAGCTTCATCTTATGTACTTCCAATATAGGAATTGGGGCTGGGTTGGAATCCATGACAGTCAATCCAATGGCTTGGGAAGGATCAGTCAATCCAAAAGTATGATCTTCCTCTCCATATTTCCCCTCTTTAACTTGGTGAAGTGCTTTGCTTGGCAGGATTTCTTATCCTTCCCATTCGTTCTTGCTGATATTACAGGTAAAGAGCTTTGAGCAAGCTCAAAATTGCCTTCTTCCCATGGGTGTTACTTCCGAAAATGTTGCACAACGATTTGGTGTAACAAGGCAGGAGCAGGATCAGGCTGCAGTGAGTTGAAAGAATATTCAGTCCTAACATTTAACTGTGAGAGTGTTCTATATTAATTTTCCTTGTTTATTTTGTTAGGTTGAATCTCATAGGAAGGCAGCTGCTGCTACCGCTGCTGGTAAATTTAAGGATGAAATAATCCCTGTAGTTACTAAGGTAAATTTAAGGATGAAATTTAATGATGAAAAGGTCGTCTTTGTCTCTGACACTGTGTTTTTGGGGGACTGACATTCATTCACTTGGGCAGATTGTGGACCCAAAAACTGGTGAAGAAAAAACTATCACAGTCTCTGTTGATGATGGAATTCGTCCTGACACTTCTGTGTCTGGGCTAGCAAAGCTGAAGCCTGTATTTAAGAAAGATGGGAGTACAACTGCTGGTATTGTGTGACACTGAATACGTTCTTCTTTTCCTGTTTGAAAAGTTGGATCAATTTACTGAATATTTTATATCGACCATAGGAAATTCTAGCCAAGTGAGTGATGGTGCTGGAGCTGTTCTCCTCATGAAGAGAAGTGTTGCAATTCGCAAAGGATTTCCTATCCTTGGTGTATTCAGGTGTGTAATGCTATGAATGAGGCATGTGTTATCTGAAGAGTTGTAGCAATTTAAGAAGGAAACAGATTGTATGTACTTACAGTTACACAAACCCAGTATGTACAATAGTATTCCTCATGGACCGTAATAAAATTGGAAATTTTACGGTGCATTTTGACCATAAAAAAAGTAGTTGCTAGTTTGCATGCAAAAAACACTTTCTCACTCACCCAACAGTGATTCTCTTTATCCTTTTGATACCGCAATTTCAATATTCTTTTTGGATCAATCACTTCCTTGCTATTAGGAGTCTGTCTCAAGTTGAAACTCTTTGTCTATTTCTTTCAGAAGTAAGCCAAAATTTCATATTCATAACATTTTTTGTCCCTTAATGGGTGGACCTAATAGTTGGATGTTATTTAATGAGATTGCTAAAGAGTAGCTAATATTATTTAGTTTTGAAACTGTATTTGAAGATTGCTGCTAGCTTTAAAGTGTGCTCTAGAAACTGGCCATGCCTTGGTGCCTTCTTGAACTATTGCACTTGTCAACCATATTGTCCTTTGCGTGAGATTTGACCTAGTTATAATCCATAAGCATTTTTTGAGGCCAACTAGTTGTCTCTGGGTTTTTTCCTTCTTAGATTTACTCTAACTTGTGCTGTTGTGTCTTTTAAGCTCTATCTGCTATAGCAATTAAAATATTAGCTTGTTCGTTTCATTTTGTTATATCTGTCAAGAAATCATCTGTTTAATTGTTAAGTGTTACTGGTGTTCTAATAAATGTGAGAATTTCTTGATGGTGCAGGAGTTTTGCAGCTGTGGGTGTAGATCCTGCAATCATGGGTATTGGTCCAGCTGTTGCCATTCCAGCTGCTGTGAAGGCTGCAGGCCTAGAACTGGATGATATTGATTTGTTTGAGATTAACGAGGTAGCAACTTTTTCTGTTTACGTTTGTGTCTCAAGTTCCCCTGTTTACATTTGTGTCTCGAGTTCCTCTACGGTAAAGGTAACACTAATTTTTCTTTGAACAGGCATTTGCATCTCAGTTTGTATATTGTCGTAAAAAGCTGGAGCTTGATCCAGAAAAAATCAACGTTAATGGCGGTGCAATGGCAATTGGGCATCCTTTGGGTGTAACAGGTATTTAACAAACTTAGGGTATTTAAGGGCTCTGTTGATTAATTCCTATTTTATTCTAGTTAATTTTTCATGTTTAATGTATGGGTTCACTCACATTTTAAAAATTTGAACTGAAAGTAGAATGTGTGTAAAAATCATTTGAAATCTACACTTATAATGAGAGTCCGCTTAAATTGATAAAATTTAAGTTCACTATTATTTCCTAAATAATATTTTTGTTTTCTGTTATCTCTTGTTTTTATGTAATAGCTTCAGAAAATGTTTTAATGAACCATACAAATCTACGTTCCTCTCTAAGTATTGAGATAGGATGTATTTTATGTAACCTTTCTAGAGTGTGTAGGCTTTTTCTCTCTTAATTCTTGTTATGCAGATTTGTTTCTGGTCTAACAACCTGAAATGTTTTCTGGTCCATCTGCAACTGCTTGCTGTTGTGGATAGTTGAGATGAGTTTCCCCTTTTCTTGAGATAATCATTTTCAGTAATATAAGGTGGTTATGAGTTAATTCATTTGATGATCGGCGTGTCAGTTTGCGTTGGATGTGTAATAATTTATTTGTGAGGTGGGAAAAAAGTAAGCTTTTGCATGATTCAAATACTGAAATAGATTGAAGTGTTAAGCTTTTGCCTGATTCAAATACTGAAATAGATTGAAGTGCTTGCTTGCTTAGCGGTGGTATCAATCACCACCATGATTTATGAGCTCGGATGACCTGTTGATGATACTCAATGTCAGTTCCTCGTGTCAAATTTCAACTCTGGATTACATTTGAATAGTCAATTTAGCTATTTGGTTTTTCTCCTTGGAAAAAAAAAAAGAAAAGCTCTTTGAATGAAGAATAATTATGATGGAGGCTTGTTGTGGATAGCAAAATTTGCTGAACATCAATGAAAACTACAATTGTCAAATGATGGAACATGGTATATAGACTATGCTTCTATGTGTTTTTTTTTTATCGTCTTATGTGTTTTCCGTTGCAGGTGCCCGGTGTGTTGCCACTTTATTGCATGAAATGAAGCGGCGTGGCAGAGACTGCCGCTTTGGAGTGATATCTATGTGCATAGGTATCTCCTCCTCTTTTACTCTCTCTCTCTCTCTCTCTATTATATATATATATATATATATATATGTACGAGCATATATATATATGTAATAAGTAAATGAAATTAAATTTGTGGCTGACGATGGGGGTTTTGGTTTAATTGCAGGCACAGGAATGGGTGCTGCAGCTGTTTTTGAGAGGGGTGATTGTACAGACGAACTCTGCAATGCCCGTAAAGCAGATAGCGGGCTGTTATCGAGAGATGCTCGATAGAATACATACTCTCTCAAGTTTATGCTACTATTAATAATGTCGGTTGAACACCGGAGTATGAATCTCATGCAATAATATGATTTTTATATTATCAAGAAATGACTAATTTATTCGTTAAGTATATCCTTAATTATGAAGCATTTTCCTACTCAGAAAATTAGTCTTAACAAATCCAATATTAGTTTTTCTACAAATGCTTTCACCACTCATAAACAAGTTCTATGCAATTGCATTCTCCTTAAGTTGATACCCAATTTTTCTTCATAAAAAAAAAATTCTGTCTCACTTTTGAAGTGCTTATCAGCCTCACTGCTGTTATTGATGGGCTCAAACAACAATCTTTTACCACTGTCTGTAATTGAGAATTCTCAAACTTGATAAATGATAGAAACAATCTCTTCTTGAAGTTGGTAATAAAAATCTCAATTATACGAGTTTAAACCATTCTAGCACACCTTCAATTGCGCGGATTTTGTGAATACACCAAACAAAAATTCTCAAAACGTTAAATAGTGAAAAACAATAAATGTAGTGAAGAAGAGTACATTTTTTTCCTCTCATCAGTAAATCTTTACATCTAAAGTGACACAAAAACCAAACCAGATTATTGAAGATTCTTGTCAATTGGACACGCCTCTAACATAATTTCTTTTACTGCATAACGCAAGATTTCACAGTATTAAAATTCATTTAACTACGTGATCTTCAGCATGAATATAACAGACCTCAGCATCATATTGTCTTTCTTCTAATATTACCATATTTTACATTAACCAATTTTGTTTAGAGAACTTTTATTTCTCTTTTTCTCCAAACAAGTGACTAATTAGATTTAAAAAGTTATAAAAATAGAATTATAAATAAAAAATTGACAGACAATTCAGTTATGTAGATTTTCATCATCTTCAAGACTTCGAGCATCATAGATCGAACGTGATGTACAAACCACTAGTTGCAACTATCAGTAATCAAGAACCATTTTGCCATTCATATTTCACTGTAAAACTGAAGTTGGGTTGGGTAATAAGCAAAAAACAAACTACATTACAGCTACCCTGCAAAAGATCCTTGCTAAAAGATCTCAGTGAGAAAAAAAAATGCAAGCTTGAATCTGTTTTGAGCATTAGATAGCAACGCATTAGCACATATCAAAATGATTGGGATATTGATCCCTTGACCCACACCAGCAAGAGCCTAGAGCCCATGTCTGCTCGTGTTCCATGTCCGCTAATCAACATTTTCATCCTCCACATGGTTATCAATCACTCCATATTTGTTCAGGGAACATTAAGGCCTGTAGTAATCATATGCATACTGAACATTAGGCCCTATGTTAATTCAAATAGTTATAAACTTATGATATGCCACCTAACGGATGCTTAAAAAGTAGTTATCCATTAGAGTATGAATTTTCTTTAAAACAATAGAATGTATTCCTTGGTGTCAAAGCAGACAATTTTTTTTACAAAAATATCAAAAAGGAAGAAAACGTAAATAAATCAAGAATTACCTTTAACCCAGATTGCTTGTCAAACTTAACATCTCAATCTGCCTCTCTAAAGCAATGGGAATGCTAGTTTGAAGTTATTGATGATTTGCAAACTGGACATGATGATTTCTGTCTGAGCCACTGGTCAATGCACTGCCACAAATGTCAAAATGACAATTAAATGCTTGATAATTAAGAGCGTGAAAGGCTTCTTAAATCAACAAAAGAGGGGGAGGATTCACACATCTTTGTGAAATTTGTGTAAGCAAGGGAGATGACGAATGGAATCACCAGTAGTTGGGGTCTCTAGACAAATTGCACAATCTTCTCCGAAAGCATCAGTCTGTGTTAAGAAAGAGAGCGGGGAAAAAAAACAAATTGACAATAAATCCTGAGAATTTTGAGAAAGCTTCCAAGTTTAATGATTTTAATTTTGGCATAAATGATCATAAAAACTGTACCTGCACTTTAGACACAGGTAAACTATTAATTTGATTGACGGATGCCCCAACATGTTGGTTATTGTTCTCATCAAGAGCCAATAGCATTTCATAATCATTTCTGCATAAAACAAACAAGAAAAATAAGAGAACTTGATAACTTGCATCTTATCTATTGGAATTCCATTTACTTCAAAAAATAAAATCCAAATGACTAATAAAATTGTTGAGCTCCGAATCTAAAAGTAAGGTGTCACTAGAAAATGATGCATCCTAAATCTTT